ATGCTCAGGTACGCTGTTCACGGATAATATGCTTAGAATAATTATAAGGAAATGAACTTTGTAATACAGAGCCACTTATATAGAAGAAAATCCTAACCAAGGCTTTCTAAATCTGTCAGTTATAATCAAAACATACATGCACATAAACTCGAAAATTTAACCAGAAGGATGAACTAAGAACTTGGATATACATTTCTGTTAAATGCCTAATTCGTTTAATGTGTCAAGGAGTATGACGCTATCAATGCAGGCAAGGTGTTTCTATTTGATACTTTGAGACATAGAATGAGTCGACTATACCCATCGATCGCTCCATGGATGCAGAATGCATTTGGCTTTAACATGTCGAATTCATTTACATGCCCAACAAAGTAAGGACCTTCTGAGGCATATCTTCGTGTGCCTTGTGTTCATTAGTTCCATCGGGATCGATTTGTGGTATTAGCTTCAGATATAGTCATACTCCAATGCGTGCTACATAGATCGAAACCTACACACTTGGCACTCCTTTTGATTAAATCAGTAATTGGGTCCCTTACTTCGTCCTTGTGTACGTGTTTTTCGTTGGACAAGATTGTTAGCTTTCAGTACTAGTTTAATATCCTTGAAAAATAAACTATAGATAAGTATTTTAATCAGTTCTAGTCTTGTCAAATGCCCCCCTCTGGGAATGACAGCTAAATCCATGATCACAATACAAGATACTGATGTTTTAACGGGGAATTCCAAACATCCGGGACCAATAGACACCATTTTCGTCGTCCGGAAAAGGAATAAACAAGAGCCCGGTTTGAGCCGTAAGGCAGAGTTACTGTTCTTTCCACTGCACTTCTAATCACTGTTATCTATCAACTTACAAAGTTTCTTGTTGATATCTCTTATGGTTTCCGAGTTATGTTCCGGACAAATTCAAAAAGTAAAAATAAACAAATGGCAATAACTCCAGAATTAGGCAAGGTAGAGTTATGATTCTTGTGCACTGCACACCTACCCATTGAGATACATCTTCCTACAAAGTTTCATGTTGATATCTCTTATAGTTTTACAGCTATGTCCAGTACAAGATTTTTCTAAAAGGGGAGATAATTCAAAAATGAGGCTTAACAGAGTTATGTTTTTTAGCACTGCACTTCTACTTAATGAGATATATCTACCTACAATGTTTCATCTTGATATCTCTTATAATTTTAGAGTTATGTTCCGGACAATGTTCAGTGTTAAAATTAACAAAGGGCAATAACTCCAAAATTAGGACAAAAAGAGTTATTGTTCTTATGCACTGCACATCTACCCATTGAGATCTATTCACTTACAAAGTTTCATGTTGATATCTCTTATAGTTTTAGAGTTATGCCCCGGACAAGATTTTTCTATAAGGGGAGATAATTAAAAAATGAGGCTTAACAGAGTTATGGTTCTTTTGCACTGCACTTCTACTCAAAGAGATCTATCTACCTACAATGTTTCATCTTGATATCTCTTATAGTTTTAGAGTTATGTTCCGGACAAAGTTCAAAGTGTTGAAATTAACAAAGGGCAATAACTCCAAAGTTAGGACAAAAAGAGTTATTCGTCTTATGCTCTACCCATTGAGATCTATTCACCTACAAAGTTTCATGTTGATATCTCTTATAGTTTTAGAGTTATGCCCCGGACAAGATTTTTTCTATAAGGAGAGATAATTCAAAAACCGGGCAAAATAGAGTTATGGTTCTTTAACACTGCACTCCCCCTCAATGCCCTCTACCACTGTATGAAGTTTAAACAAATTATCTCCAAGGGTTTTCAAGTTATGCTCCGGACAAGAAAACGGACGGACAGACGGACGGACAGACGGACAAGGCGCCGACTATATGCTCCCCCGAAATTTTTCGGGGAGCATAATAAGATTCTGCAAAAGGAAAAATAATCAAATTATTTTTGTACACATAACAAAACTAACGAAACTGACAGTTACACAAATTAAAATACTGTTCCAAATTTGACAATTTACACAAAACACAAATACATCCAACATACACCAGTTTTGATGTTTGTGTCCCTTATCGTAGGTCTAACTTGTTGCAAGGTTTGGCTAAAGTAGCTACTATGGGCTTAATATCCACCTTTGCCTCCTATTGAAATTGGTTGTTTTTCACCACGCCTTTTAAGTTATACAGATACAATCACCTAATCTTTTAAGCTTTACTTGTGGAGGGAGACCTCTGATGCCCCTTGGTGCATTATTTCAGACATGAATGGTTACCTGAATGGTACGACCGGCGTTGAGTAATCTAGCTGGATAGAAACATATAAAAAACCCTTCTGAAATTATAAATATATAGGTAAACACCTTCAAGAAGAAATAATTATATCCAATTATGCATTGGTCATTGTCATTAAATAGAATGCTTTGGAACTGATATAGAATTTGAAAACGGATTAAACAAAACAATATAAGACTTTTAATTATTTTTCAAAATATAATTACCTTTAAAAAAACTAAAGTTTTCTCTAAAACGTACTCAATATCATTTTTAAAATATAAACACACAATAATCAAAATGCAATTTGCGTCTGAGAGATATTCATCTCATGACAACCTTTATTAGTTAATATGTATGCATTCCGTAATGTTTCATATCTGATACTTAATATCAAAGTTAAGAATTCTCACAAAACTTTTCTTTTCTGTTTTTGGTTATTTTTCTTTTCATTTGTTGCAAAAGGTTTTACCCAAAATCAAGTTTGATTGTTACCCATATCCGGTAATCGATTAAGCGATAATTATCATCCTTTTCTAAATCTAAAGTCATTACATATTACGCTAATTGTATACATGTACGTTATTTGCAACAAATGCCACCACAGTTTTTATAGATTGTCATTTAACAACAAATTTCCAATGCATATATTTTGTGTTCTCCATACTTTTGCATCTAAAAGTGATGAATAATTTAAACCAAATCCCAGCTCCGTCATTTTAGTTTTAACGCTTCCATTCATATGAAATATCCATAAAGAATACCATAATCGCTATTTCGTGATCGAAAGTTCTACAATTTTACGTTTCTGTTTATATATGAAAGTGTTTTTCATATCTTTATATAGACTGTCTTATCATTTAGGTCGCCGTTTATATTTAAGGAATCCACCGATTAGTATCACGTGATTTCACGCTCTTCCCTACTATGCCACTTTGATATCCAATCATCTAGAAGACGTAAAGAAGGGTCTGAATGGTTTCCCATGGTTACCTAACTACTTGACAATATTCACGATACTCTCCCCGATGACAAAGAAGACAAAATTCCATACCATTTTGATATAAATTAATATAATGCTTAATGCAAAACTATGAAACAAAACCGAGATACAAAAAGAAGGAGTTTGAAAAAAAATGTCTATTTCTTCAGTCGTTTTATGTAAAAGCTGTAAGAAGTGTGCTTACCGATTTCAAGAGTCAGGTAATTTAGATTGTTTATATTTCTTATTTCGTCACCTCGTGGCTCTTTGCAATATTTCTAATCAATTTGCATTGATAATGAAAGCAAGGGGTTGAAAATCAGAGAATGTGATAAAGCCTTGCTTTGGTGATTGTGACGGTGAAAATATAATGACAGAAATTTACTTGGCAGGCACTTCTTTCTACAGCCCAGATAAAAGAAAATCACAAACTATTTCCAGTATTATGTGCATTTTCAAGTATAAACCCAATTAAATGTGAAATAAAACTTATACCAAGCGACAATTTTGTCAACCAACGAGCAAAAATGGTTAAAAGTGGAGCATTATGAATTAAAATATGTGTAAATTGAAATTTCTATTAAAAGTGTTTAATTTCTAATATGAAAGCGCAAGCTGTGGAAAGAAAGTGATTATTCTTTAAGTGAAAGAACTAAAGAAAACGAACTAGCATTCTTCTCGTTCACAATATTCCTCTTACCATTTCTTTAGCATTGCTTTTCCATGGATTTTCCATTTTAAATTTTCTAAGAAATAAATACAGTATAAAAGAAATAAAACCAAGATAGTCGACTTCTGTGTATATAGGCTAAAGATAAAATAACATTTGGCTATGAGAAAACGATCTGCTCTCCAATATTATCTTACTTCTTATGTTGTTTACACATTTTTGGTAAATAAAATGGATTTAGCTCATAACAGGATTGGAGCAGTACCTCTAGACGTTTGCAAAATTCATGGTTAAAAAAAGACAAATATCGGAATACGGTATTTAGTGTCGTGCTCCAATCCTTTTTCTTAGTCTCACTCAAATAAAATTGTAAGGTATACTGTGTCGCATAACAGCATAACAGTTTTTACCGTTAAAATTAGAATAGGTACTGTGTGTGTAATAGGAAAAGAATGATGTAAAAAGTGTGTTATTTCGAAACTATGTAAATTGAATTTCTCCAGGTATTGAAACATGATGTTTTATTAGGAAAGAAAGCTATAATTTTATTTCTATTTGACATCTGAAACCGTTACACTGCTGTAAAATATGTAAAATATGTTATAGAATAAGTTATATGGTGATACATTTATTTTACTTTCGTTGACTAAGTAACAAAGTAATTCCGGGTAATGGAAAACAATTAAACAGGAATTGAATACATTTGTCAAAAAGTAAATGTCGATCATCTGTTATTTGAAGTATGAGAAGATAATATTGACCCAAATTTCAAGGAAAATCTTGATTTTAAAGCATTTTTCTTCCATTTGTTTCCATTATTAGACATTTGATTCAACAACAGTTAAAGAATTCACGGTACAAACCATGTACATTTTGTATGCATTATAAATTCCTAAATGCAATGAATTGCAGTATAACTTGAATGTTTTTAACAATTTAAATATGCTAATTGGTAAAAAGATCATTGATAATATTATTCATTTATTTGATCTTATATAATATTTCATAGGCATACATTTTTACATTTCTTGCAGGTAAATTAATTTTGATAATCATCGTGTTATTGACTGACGTTGTTGTGGCACGTTCCCGCCATAAACTCAATTCACGACACATACGACGTCATCAAGAAAATGTCGTCTGCCAAAACACAAGTTTAAAACTTGTCATGCGCATACTCCAGGTTGATACGGACAACATCAAACATAATGTGGTGAGTGGAACACTAATTTCTTAATAATATGAGTACTTAAAATACTCACCCAACATTTGTTGACGCTTTCCCTATTTCTTTGACATTGATCAACCTTTTAGAAATGAAATTTTCCTATTTACGTTTATCCAAATGGGTGTGTTCTTTATTAAAATGCTTTTTTAATGTTAAATACATGTATTTAAATAATTAGATAAAAGTTTGTCTATAAATTTGCAGAGATGCAGAATGGACCCCGGAACGTGCAGTGAAAACATGTTGAGTTTAAACTCAAAAGAACAAACTTCTTTTGGATTGGGCGTAAGCTTTTTCTCCTCACTTTTACATTGTAAACGCACAGACATTTAATATAATTTTTGTTCAGAATACATTTGTTTAAAAAAAAAAATCTAAGAAAACATCTATAAAATTATTATGCAATAATAAGATTTGAATACGTCCAGGCATTTGGACTTGTAATGCAATTATAAAATTAAAGTAAAATTAACAAATAAAAACATAATTTGTATTCCTTTACAGAATGCTTGCAATAGGAGATTTTTCAACAAGTTTCGCGCGAGCCTCGAAGAGTTCTATGCTAATTTTACGAGAATTCATGGACGCATTACATATCTACAGTCAGATCTAGTTCTATTTGACAACGATCCGATTTTGCCGCTCATAAACACAGTGCGCAATGATATAAGAAACGCATATTTTGCAAGCAAGCCTCAAACTACATGGTCTTTGCCGTTGTCGGGTACTTACACAAACGATGGATCGGGTGAAACGGGTTTACTAATGGATCTCATACAAACAATCAACAACTTTGGCAACTTTTTGAATGCAGTATTTACAATCCTGGATGCTTAACATATCACTGATTCGTGTATTATTCATTCTCTACCACACGATGTTGGACGCTTTGGTTCTATTACAGTTATCTACCTCAATTAATGCATTTAATGCAATTGTCATCATTATGTGTTTGAAAAATTTTGTCATTTTTTACTTTGATATTTATTTAAAAGTATTATCAAAAAACCCTCAAAAGTCTGAATTGTTTTTCACACATTTTGTTTACATATTTTTATGTTGTTCTGGCATTATCATACGCTTCGTTTTTATCTATATACATTAACTTAATGTTTTATTTATACGTCTATTTCAATGTTTGATTTTGAAAGAATATATAGCAAAACTTCTTACAATATGTTGTTGTTTTTGAAATCTCCAATGGTTGTTTTGATAAAAGCATTATACATGTACTCGTAAAATTGCATAATTTTGTCACATTTGGCACAAAAACACCTCAAATCTAAATCATTATTATATTTTTTTTCAACGCTTAACTGCAATTATTGTTTAACTGTTAAGCAAGCTGTCGATTTCACATATGTGTCATCACTGGAAAAATTTCTTGCACTTACATACTGTATAGCCACACATTGTACGACTTGAGATAAAATTTATGTGCTATGACATAAAAAAGAATTCTTCTAGCGATAAACCATGCAATATCATATTATATTGTAAGAAAGGAGATATATAGGATTGAACAATCCCCACACATACGTATATCTAGCACGACGTCAAATGGTTATATTGACATGATACCGTACCTTTCTAAAGAAATCTTAGATGTTACACATTACGTCTTTTAAAGTCAGTTTTTTTTTTAATTTAATGTTCCATTTGATGAACAGAACAGAACTTTTATTTCTTTGATTTGTACATGATGGTCTAGACCAATAACTAATGTGCAATAGTTCAGACCATTTTCTTCAGAATAGATGTAGAAAATGACACAAAATTGAAAAGCGTTGCATCGCTTTTCACTCAAACCGAACTAAAATAGCAAAAAAAAATAAAAAAAATACAACTTTCAACTACATTTAGGATTTATTTCCACATTAAATTTTTGTGCATCTTTAAAAGAGTTCATATGATATTTATTAGAAATTCAAATTTTATATTTTTGGGCTTTTACCTCAATTGAAATTTATTCAATGCTTTCTTATTTGTGTAAAGGGGCCGCTTTCAAAAAGAAAAGCAAGCGTCTATGGTTTCAAACTTTATAACTGTGTATGATATGTCCTTATTCGAATACATTCATAGTTAACTGAGTTTGCTGTCGTAAATTTACAACTAGTTAGAGGCACTATGAATGAAGAAGGTATCTATGTCGAAATCTGATACTCAGGTATTTATTTAAAATATTTACATATTTGTGCACTTTGTAAATATGTTGATTCATCTAGTTAGTTTCAATATCATCAGCTCGATTGACAGCTTAGATTATCCTCACGATGTTCGCCGACTTTTGTAATATTTCCCGAAACAGCTCTTTAAAACAGCCAGCAAAGATACTGCTATTTATAATATGTATATTATTTTACAATAGAATCCCCCGAAATGGACCGACTTTGAACCGGACATACAGGTTTGGTATATAATAGTACGTTGGAAGTAAACATCAAATACTAACTTAATTTTGTACACTTTACGCGTAGACAAAATTCGGTTTGTTGGCAAGTTTATATATACATGTTTACACCACCATATGTCAATATCCACAATGCTGAAAGGTAATTTTAAATTTATTACATTAGAAATATTTTTTTGGTTTCAACGAATTTTCTAGAGATTACTTTTTAGTAATGTAATAATTTCAAATTCCATATTGTACTACCCGTATTCTTCTTTCAAACAACAACAACAACAACTGCCATGTTACCGCTTTTAATAAAATGCAGTTGTTGTTGTATTTTTTTGCTTGGTTCTATTTTTGTTTTTTGTTTTTTATCTGTGATAACTTCACTAGATCATTAACATATTTTCTTTATAAATTCCGCATTTTCCTTTAGTCAATTTGCCTTTAATTGATTTTTTTACTCATTAACACTATCCAAAGTCATCTCTTCAAAAATGAAACATGTATTTATCTATGTATATTTAATTTTATATGCAATTTTAAAATACTGCACGTTTGTAACGTCACTTTTCATTGACAACCACGACGTTTATATAGAAAATATTGAATGAGTGTAAATGGCGAGCATAATATTGTTTTATTCAACGAGTTCAATAAAATTAGTATTGAATCTTCACGAATATAATATTCTACTTATCACATATATAAAAAAGAACGGTAAACTGTAAAATTTGACGCGTCAATAGTGTAACGCCAACATTAGCGCCCTTTATCGCTATGTGTATAGCGCAAATGACGTCACGTCAAATTGTTATTAAACTAGTGTAATATCGTCTATAGTGTAATATCATTTTTATTAAATGGCTTTATTACACTCCTGTCCCGCGGTTTATGTGATAAATAGTTTTATATAAACGGTTGCTGTCTTTTTTCTAAGAAATCTCACTTTTTTCTTAAAAAAGAAAGTTTGCTGTATTATAAGTTCGTTATAGATATTTCTGACAGGTTATATGACCGTATATAAACGGTTGTTTGCAATATAATCGTTTATATAGGGCCATATAACCTGTCAAAAATCTTTATAAATAATAATATGCAGTGCTTGAATGTGATAGTGTATGTTTAATGTTATTATACCTTACCGTGTAAAATGTCACAACTTAGTATGATGATTGTAAAGTATTTTTGTAAATTTTCATACATTGATATTTTGTAATGTGTTCTGTTTGTGTATGGGCTGGTGACCGTAAATTACACAATACAGAATTGAATTGAATGAATTGAATTATTTTTCTCAAGTACTATAAATATTCATTTAGTTATTTTGTGAATTTTGTTATAAGTTAACACTTAATGTCATTGAATTTACATATTTATTTTCCCGGGTCATGGCCATGACCATGTTTCCTTATTTGACACTATAGTAGTTGTTCCAGAAAGCGGACTCTAAAGTGATCAATATAAGTAGCAATAAACTTGTATTCAAAGTCGAGTTTTAATAATATTTCAAAACTTCTTGACAGAAATGTAATGTGAAATTATTTTAGGTCATCTACACTTCTTTATTAGTTGATAAATACAAATATCTTCTCATACAATGTGGCTCAAAACCAAGTTACAGTAAACCCGGGCTGCGTTTTACAGAATGTCCCAAGAGTATATATCCGAAGTCCCAGGAAAAAAATCCAACTTTACGACTACATGTAGTTTTATATCGTTTCAATAAACATTTTTATCTTTAAATACGAAAGACTTTAAATAAATTCACTCTCCTGAGAAAAATTAAAAAATACAATGTTTGACAGACATTTATATTGACAATGTGTAAATGCCCATCAACGTTGCTATTCAGAAATAGAAAAGAGTCATAACATAGGAGTTAGAAGTAAGAGCTTTTTCTTTGAAACGCAAAATTGTCTTAGGTTGGACTTACGACTGATTTCAGACATGGGACTCTCTTTGAAACGCACACCCGGTTTGTAAGTCAACGGTCAATTCAACGATCTTAGATACGGTTTAATATGAGTTTGGTTTAAAGTGACATTTTGCCCATCCAAGGGTTTATAGTGCGTGAACGGGTGAAAATCCTAAATAAGTCTTCATTTTGCCATCGTTCCTTTTAATCTAATAAATAAGTTCGCATAAACAATAAATAACGTACAGATCTAAACAAAATTTCTGTAAATATCCATTAGAATTTACCTTTAACGCTTATTTTATAAAAAGAGTGGGGCAGTCTTTTTAAATTTAGGCAGATTTATAATTTTATCCTAAACATTTTTCAATATCAACTGTTGGTCAAACACCATTTATTTTGACAGTCAATCTTTTGAAATATAAAGTCAATTCAGCTCAACTTGACTAAGAAAATATTAGCATAATATCACTTTAATATCAATCACCATTAATTTCGTGATTATGGTGCAGCAAATGTCTAACAATAACAGAAAAGCTATAAAATGTAACAACATTCTAGCAATTAATTCTTACCAATACAAAAGATGACCCCGATCATCGCAAGGCGTTCCTGACATCACTAGACTTGAAATATTGAAATATATCTCTGCCCTCCCCGCTCCCAATTATAATGACCATAACGTTCTAAATATTTCTATATTTCTTTTACCACAATGTTGATATAACAATATGATACGTAACCAATAGTTTCCCCTTTTTTCAGTTTTTTCTATTCTTGGAGTATATTTTTAGAATCAATTAACACTTCTTGAAGTTTTAGGAAATGGTCTTCTTTCACATTTTGTCATCTTAGTACAGTAACGGGTTAACTCCTTATATAATACAATAGGAGTTAACACGTTACTGAACTAAGATGACGATTTATGTACTCAAGGTCACCTCCTGTGGTCGATAATGATTTTAATCATGAATTGCACTTGCTGATATATGAAATTGATACTTTCAATGTAAAACCCAATCTACCATTTCTTTGAAAACAGGTAATAAACAAACAATAAAAAACAACTGTTCAAAGTAAAAAATAGAAAAAAGGAAACAACAGCAAAAAAACAAACAAATAAAAGAGGATTTTTTGTATTAATTCAAGGGTTTTTGTTTATTTTGTTTTTCAAACTATATTGTGCACAAAGACATCACGGGTTTTTATCTTCCGCATATTAAAAATTAAAACAAACTGTATTTGTAAAATAACAAAAAAAAAACTATGAAATTTTCTAAATATATCACATTTGAAGGTCAATGTCGTATTGACAATCAAATTTTATTTCAAATGAAGGCTTTGTCGAGAAATATGGTATGTCATGGAATGTCATGGAATGCAGGTTATGAAGATGTCCAGTCAAACTTATGTTATTCGCAGAGATAAAATCACGACTGACAAAATAAAAAGGATAAAAATAAGATGCATCCTTACATTTTAATATTAGGTCATATCTTTTTCAAAGGAAAAAAAACCGAATCTTTTCATCATCCCGATCCGGAAACAAAAACGCGGTAATTTTTCATTGAATTGATCTTTCATATAAAATTTGAAAATTGTATATGTTTTTGAACATCAGATTCCACAATATATAGGAGAACTATAAATAAACTTCATTTATTGACAACAGCAGCATCCGTTGGGGCTTTATTGTTATACCTCATCAGTCAGAAATAGAATCAGTAAAACCAGAAAAGGGCAAACTATTTAAATAAAATCTTAACACTGACTATAATAGTAGAAACACAACAATCTTATTACGGTTGGAAAAAAGCGAGAGAAATCGGGCCTGTTTTCTATAAAATATGACAATGTTCAAA